TATATATATATATATATATATATATATATATAATATATATATATAATAATAATATATATATATATATAATAATATATATATATATATATATATATATATATATTATATATATATATATAATAATATATATATATATATATATATATATATATATACTGCACCGGATATTTGCACGCGTGCTCTTATGGTTGAAAAGTTGCGTCTATCAAAATTCGTGTGTACACATACGTAGAAATACTCTCATGCATACGACTATGGCGTATATATACCCAAGAACGGTAGTCTCAATGGACTATAAATTTCTCAGAATGGTATCCAAAGCAGAATCAGGTTTAAACTTGTTATTCTATTGGAGAATTCCGTCCGTTAGATACACTCATCGATAATCAGGTGCAACGACTTGGCCTATAGTAGCTCGTCGGAGGACCATACCGTCTCGCATCAAACGAGTGAACAAGAGCGCAAGGGATGTTGATACTTTAAATCACAAGAATTATCGTGTATGCATCTAATCTTGTGCGTTTGGTTGAATCAGTGTATACAGATATACTTACGCGGACAAGTCTCTCGCCTCAACATTTCAGTTGTCTCAATTGGTGATAAGTCTTCGGTCAACCCATATACACTCACCACCAATAATGCCAAAGCAACCATAAATTGTATTGATATCCGCATGATTTACACAGTTGGCTTGCGTTATATGTAGCAGGATCTCTTAGAGATTGTACATATACAATCAAACAGCCGCCTACAGACTATAATAAATGTCTTTCGCGTGCGTAGTACATACATACGTATATACATACATATTTAGTGCATATTTACACAATAGCAAAATACGGGTCTAAAATGCTACACCAACGCAAGAGACCTACGGGCTACGGCACGCCTCATCATTCACCTTTTTTCTTTCGAGTGTGATGAGATCTCAGTCCATAGACCAATGAAATCGTCAGGTAAAGACTTTATTATACTTTTTATTTGCCGCAAAAGAACAGTCCATCACGTAAGCAAACGTTTATATATTACCAGATGAAGTAGCATCCAGGTGTCCAGGCCCAGCAGTGCATTGTTGCCTACCCTCAGTACGTATACGTTATAACGTATAAAAATCAACACTTTTGATGTTTACGAACAAGGTATACTTTGAGTTGGTCCTGTTTGTTTAGTGGGGGTGCACTTGCCAAGTCCTGAGGTGCAATCGATTGATTATTTTTTACAGTAAATCATAGCCTTCCTGTTCAAAGAGGGGGCTATGAGTAAATATTAAACATAAAACAAACAACAACGATAAAAAATATTTAAAACTTTATATGTTTACTGCTGTATCTCCTGTGCGTGAGGTTTGACGTGTATGTGAAATAACATACCTCGTAAACCCTAAAACCGCAAATGGTTGTGTCAGACCAGCAATATATACACTAGCTTACATACATATACACTACATAAATACCATGTGAATACTCAAACAACACCTCTGTTCACTGCGGCTTCTATCTATATTGTTGACATTTGTGTGTTTCGGTGATAAAGCGCTATTATTGGCTATCACACCATTGCGACAAGAATTCAAATTAGATATTACATAGTATGTGTGTGCGGTTCCCTGTTCCGGCATGTTTTGAGATACAAATTATCCACGCTAAGGTGGTGTCCAGGCTGCTCCCTGAATTGGCTGACCTGGTTAGGTATTGCCAGAATTATACTGGGGAAAGGATGTGCTTATGGTGAACAGTACAACGTATTACTGGTGAGCTTTCAGCTGGATAGATATTGCCAGACTCACGTTTTTGACATTTGTTGTGCTTTTAATAAATTGTACATTAAATATTCTTGCGCCACGCCGGAGCCCTCTTCTTTTGCTTCTGTTTGAGATGTAATCTCCCTCCTGAAAGTTTCTTGGCTTGCACCTCCTTGAATTTGCGCTTGAAATAGGCTTTGGACTGTGAAAGGTTATATAAACAATATACATATGAGTCATCACCCAGATATTGGCATAGCGATACTATCACGACGACTGGGATTCGAAAAACGTAGTGTATATTCATGAAGATACGATGTGGTAGAGTAATGAGGAATTTGAGGATGAAGCCTCTTAGTCCCAACAAACGACATACGCCAGTTGTATTTGCTTTAAATATACAGTGTGGTGTGTAGTGTGATTACAGGGACAATGTACAAACACTGGGCAAAGGGTATGGAACTGCCGGAAAGTAGGAAAAAACTAGTGGCCACGTGTGTTAAAACATGAACTATTCAACCGTGAGCATGCGTGCCTAAATATGTACACGTGGCTGTGTGTGCTCATGAACACGAGTTCAGATATCCACATACGTACATATGCATGCGCTTATAGGCACGTATTTATGTCTTCACACTAATACGTATGTATGAATATGCCCACATCCACTTGCACACCTTATCGTCCGCCAGAAGTTCGTCAACCAGCCCACCCTTGACACTCGGTCGCGTCGTGGGGTCGTTACCAAACCTATCACCCTCGCCACTCACAACCGTACCCACAGAAAAGAACTTTGGCATTTTATGCGAGTCATTGCTTCTGTAGAATCGCTTGGGATCGATATACCCTCGCATCTTGATGGCCTGCAGCTCGGCTTTTAAATGGTCGGTCATTTCGGTTGCGGGGAGTCCGAACCAGCCCGGCCCAGCGTCGTCCTGCGTGTTTTTCTGAGGATGGAAAAATTGGGCGATTATGAGATACAAAAGCAAATACAAATACACGCTTGGTATAGAAGTTATCCCGTAAGTTTATCTGTAGGTGGAGAGCCGGCATGATTAGCTAGAGTGTTAACATGTGCGAGGTCCAAGAGTGTTTTGAGATGCGTTTTAGTCCGCAAACTTGTTCCGGATGTCAAAACGTCGGAAGGACCATAACACAGCGTGAGTCCGTTACACAAAGTTCATAGCCAGCCAGGAGTGCGACACTAAACTTGGAATATAATCCATGAATAAGGCAATGGCGCTATGAGCAAAATTCACGGGCTGTTCTAAGATAAAAGTTTAAAGTAGGCGGAAAACTTCTAATAGAGGTAAACTCCATTCATCAGTAAATACATATTTGATGATGGGAAAATATCGTCCACAAGAGTGATTTAAAATCTTGTTATCCTGCAAAAAAAATTGGCGAAATAAAAATATCGTTTCAGGCATTATACAAACTTCAAGTACCTAACACATAAGAAATGATATATACATACCAACTATCACGAGCAAAACGGAATGTAAAAAACATGAACATATGTGTGTATGTAACATCACACACAAAAAAGACAAAAAATTACAAAATAAACAGGTATATAGTGAGCAACATATACACAAACATACACCTATATATATCAATATATTTACATATCTCAATAGATATATATATATATATATATTAATATATAAATATATAATATATATATATATGTGTGTGTGTGTGTGTGTGTGTGTGTGTGTGTGTGTGTGTGT